TTTTCATCGCGATCCAGCTGAAGCCCCAGGCAAGCACCGTGGCTGCATAGAGCCCGTAATCCATTGCAGAAAAACCGCCTGAACCGTTGCGGATCGCGGGGGAAGCGACGCTCATGAAAACACCATGCTTGGAAAATCCTGAAGGGAATCTGGCGTTCAATTCACTTAAGCGCAAATGATTGTTTTTGATGTTTGCATCAAGAACTCAGATGATTACGGTCAACCAGCGAAAGCAGTTTGAGCAACTGGAAGACACGGGAGACGGGATGACCCTGCTGGTGATCGAGAACTATCCGGATGCCGGGTTGGCAGCACTTGGCAGAACGGCTACCCGGATGGGGCACAAGTGGAAAACTGTCCGGGCCTACGCGGGCGAGGAGTTGCCGAACGAGGCAGGCACCTTTAGCGGTTTGGTGACGCTCGGAGGTGGCCAGAATGCCCTTGCGGACAAGGAGTATCCGCATCTGCCGCGCTTATGTGGTCTGATCAGGACGTTCCACGAGGCAGATCGGCCGGTGCTTGGGATCTGCCTTGGCTGCCAGCTCATCGCGCGGGCGTTCGGTGGACGCAACATTTTGAGCCGGCCCATTGAGTTCGGCTGGCAGTACGTGACACCAACGGCAGAGGGCCAGGCCGATCCTGTCGTCTCGGCGTTGGGAAAGGGCGGGCCACTGTTTCACTGGCACACCGATACCGTTTCTCTTCCTGAAGACGCTGTTCACCTGGCTGAAAGCGCAATGACACCGATACAGGCCTTCCGCATCGGCCGGACTACATACGCTATCCAGTTCCATTTCGAAGCCGCCTCAGCGGACGTGCGTGAATGGTCTGAAAATCTTGCAGACGAGATCCTTCCACATACGCCGGACTGGCCCGAGCGGCTCGATGAGGAAGCTGCCCGTCACGCGGACAAGTCCGACGCGTTGGGTGAAGCGATCGCCCGGGCATGGCTGGCCTTGCTCCGGCGTCCGTGACCTACAGCACCAGGTTATGCCGGCCGGTATTCGTGATGTCGGTCTCGCCGCAAAGGCCCATTGTCACGTCCAGTTCCTTGTGGATCATCTCCAGAACCTTGGTCACGCCAGCCTTGCCCATTGCGCCGAGGCCATAGATGTAGGCCCGGCCGATATAGGTACTGTGAGCACCCATTGCGACCGCTCTGAAGACGTCCTGTCCTGAGCGGATCCCACCGTCGAAATGAACTTCGATCTTGTCCCCGACCGCGTCGACGATGTCGCCAAGGACGTCATAGGAGGCCAGAGCACCGTCCAACTGACGTCCGCCATGGTTGGAGACCACGATCGCATCCACACCGAGGCCGGCAGCGATTTTTGCATCCTCGACATCGTTGATGCCTTTCAGGATCAGTTTGCGATCCCAGTGTTTCTTGACCCACTCGACCGAAGACCAGTCAAGTGTCGGGTCGAACTGGCTGTTCGTCCACTCAGCGAGCGACGACATGTCGTCGACACCAGCCACGTGCCCGTGAATGTTGCCGAATTCCCTGCGCTTTGTCTGAAGCATGTTCCAGCACCAGAATGGCTTGAATGCGAGATCGACAAGGACGCTCGGCTGTGGTTTGGGTGGTGTGCTCAGGCCGTTCTTGAGATCCTGATGGCGTTGGCCAAGCACCTGGAGGTCGAGCGTCAGCACAAGTGCCGAACAATCCGCCGCGGTTGCCCTTTGCATCAGGTTTTCCGAAAATCCCCTGTCGCGCATGACATAGAGCTGGAACCAGAAGGGGGTCTTGGTGTGCTCCGCAACGTCCTCGATCGAGCAAACGCTCATTGTGGACAGCGTAAAGGGGATACCGAATTCTTCAGCCGCCTGTGCCGCGAGAATTTCGCCGTCCGCGTGTTGCATGCCGGTGAGCCCGACGGGCGCCAACGCGACCGGCATGGCGACTTCCCGACCGATCATGGTCGACTTGACCGAACGGTTGTCGATGTTGCGGGCAACACGTTGACGCAGCTTCTGGCGTTGCAGCGCTGCTTCGTTTTCCCGGTAGGTGCTTTGTGTCCATGACCCGGTATCCGCATAGTCGTAGAACATTTTCGGAACCCTGCGCTTTGCAAGAGCCTGCATGTCGGCAACATCGGTAATAGTCGTCACGATTTATCCTCCCCCGGATCAGGATCGAGTGGAATTCTTAATGGGTTTGATACGACGCAGGCCCGCCAGTTGTTCGCGTTGGTCGAGTTGTTCGGCCTCGGCACGCGTGCCGCGTACATAGTCGATATGTTCTTCTGATGCGCGCTTTGCCCCGACTGCATCACCCTCGCAGATCGCGTCTGCGATCGCGACGTGCTGTTGCAGCAACTCGTCTCGCGCGCTCGGGTGGTGGTAGAGCCGGCCGCGATTGTAAAAGACACCGTTTTCAAGCAACCGGTAGCAGGAACGCAGCGTATGCAGCATCACCACGTTATGAGCCGCTTCGCCGACTGCATGGTGAAATTCGACATCAAGCAGCGCTTCGACGGAAAGGTCCTCTGCCTCGTGGGCATCGTGCATTTGCTTGACGATATCCTGGAGACGCTTGAGATCGGTAGGGGCTGCACGCATGGCTGCCTGGGCGGCCGCCTGTCCTTCGATCCCCCTTCGGAACTCGAAATAGTCATTGATGGCGTCCGGATGCCGGGCGATCAGCTCAATGATGGCATCGGAAAATATGGGACCGATCAGATCGCAGACATAGGTGCCGCCACCGCGCCGTGCTTCAATCAGCCTGCGTTCCTCAAGAGTTTTGAGCGCATCCCTGAGGACGGGTCTTGAGACTTTCATCTGTTCGGCCAGGTCCCGTTCGGACGGTAGCCGGTCACCGGAGTGCAGGACGCCTTTCAGGATCAGATTTTCAATCTGCTCCACAACGGCGTCGGCCGTTTTTTGATGATCAACAGGCTGAAACATGCGTGATGCATCCCTTCGTTGCCGCGCAACATAAGTGCAATGCAAAAATTGGTCAATTTTTTTATCCAATTATCATTGCGTCAAAACCGCCATCAGCGAACAATCGTGGCCTGTGACAATATTAGACCTTGGTATAAGGCGTTCTTTGTGATCAGAGTGCCTCGCAGACGGAACACTGGACAGGGGCGAGTATTGTGGGTCAGGGGTCAGAGAACGGGTCGTCGCTGCCGTCGTTCCGGACATCTCTCGTGCGCGAACGTGTGCTGGGAGAAGTGCATGCACGTCCATTCCGACCGCTGACGTGTCCCCGCACGGTATTGCACTATGCGTTCCTGACCAACGCGGAAGAGGCGGCTAGGGATCACGACTGGTTGTCGGAATTCTGCATGTCCCGAGGAGTGCCCGGGCCCGCGTCGGGGAACCGGCATCACACCCTGACTTTCGGCGGTGGAACCCTCAGCTGGGAACAGCACGCGGAATTCACGACCTACACCTGGGATGGAAGCGCGAGACCGGACCAGCTGTTCGGGCAACTTGCTGCGACACATCCGTTCGGCGCGGCCTTTCGCGCGCCTGGAGACCTTCTCGTTGCTGTACGCCTCGAATTGCGTGAACCGGTCGAAAACGAAGATTGGCGCAGCCAGTTTGACGAGAGCAGTCTGACGGTCTCGAACCTGGAAGACGGGGCAGCGACCGTGGTGACGGATTTCCGTCAGGACGGAGACGGACTGACACGCATGTTGTTGTTCAATCGATCCCTGAGCGGTGTGCAGTGCGGCGCTGTCGTGCAACGCCTTCTTGAAGTCGAAACCTATCGGACGCTTGCCATGCTGGGATTGTTTGAGGCAACAGGTCTGCAACCGGAAATCCGGCGTTTTGAGATCGAGTTGGCGGAAATGACCGGCCAGATGAAGGATGCCGCTGCGCTTGGAACCAACCAGGAGCTTCTTGACAAGCTGTCTGCCCTGGCGGCGGCGCTGGAAGCCGGGGCGACGGCGAGTGCCTTCCGTTTCGGTGCAAGCCGCGCCTATGCCGAAATCGTCAAGGCCAGACTTGAGACATTGAGAGAAGAAGCCGCACCGGGCGATTTGTCCCTGGCATCGTTCCTGGCAAGACGCCTTGCACCTGCCATGCGAACCTGCCAGGCAATTGAAGACCGCCAGGCAATGCTGTCACGCAAGCTTGCCCGCGCGACGACATTGCTGCGCACGAGAGTTGACGTGGAACTGGAACAGCAGAACCGCAGCCTCCTGCAATCAATGAACCGCAGAGCCCGTCTGCAATTGCGACTTCAGCAAACCGTCGAAGGTCTGTCAGTCGCTGCGGTTTCCTATTATGTGGTCGGTTTGATTTCGTACCTGGCAAAGGCCGCCAAGGATGCGGGGCTTCCGGTTCCGAGCGCGAATATCACGACAGGCCTGGCAGTGCCGTTGGTCGTTTTGCTCATCTGGTGGGTCGTCAGGCGTATCCGCAAGCATCATGGTGAACATTGACTGAAGTTGCCGCAATGAAATAGGCCGGGGAGCCCCGGCCTTTCCTGTGATGCGATGCCGATTGATCCTACTCGGTCGTGCCGTCTTCCTTGAATTGTGCAAGATAGGCAATCACGTTGTCGCGGTCCGCTTCTTTTCTCAGACCGGCAAATGCCATCTTGCCCTTGGGAATAAGGTCTTTCGGTTTAGTCAGATAGACGACGAGAGTGTCTTCGTCCCAGACTTTGCCGTCGCTCAATTCAACGAGGTTTTTCGAGTACTTGTATCCTTCGATACGGCCCCACGGAGCGCCAACCACCCCGTTCAGCTGCGGTCCGACCTTGTTTTTGGCACTTTCGCCAACGGCGTGGCAGGCGGCGCACTTTTTGAAAACTTTCTCACCCTTGGCAGGGTCGCCTTCGGCACTTGCCTGAGCGGTTACGGCCAGAAGCGCTGTTCCGGCGATCATCAGCAAACGCTGCATATAACTCTCCCTCAATTTGGGTGCATACATACCCCGGCACAAAAGACAGGAAGCCCGAACATGATGCAAGTGACGCACAGTCGCATCAGGAGAGATACTAATGCGGCAGTTAAACGTCACATGTCAAAATGGAGTGATCACCCGGCCTTTGCGCTGCTCGGCAGGCGGAGCCAGTCGTCAAGGCCGGCATCCCAATAGGGCGAAGTCCCGTAAAGACCGGCCAGGAAATCGATGAAGACCCGCACCTTGGCCGGCAGGAACTGACGGCTCGGATAAACGGCATGCAGGCCGACGTCCTTTGATGCCCTGTATTGAGGCAGCAGTATCTGCAACTTGCCTTCTCGCAGCTCCGGACCGACATCCCAGGTGGAACGAAGTGCCACGCCAACACCTGCAAGCAGGCATTCCCGCACGACTTCGTTTGAGTTTGTCTTGAGAGGCGCACGTGTACGCACGGTTTCGATTCCGGAGGGCCCGGCAAGCCGCCACGGATCCTGATTTGTCGCTGCAATCGTTACATGATTGCTTGCCAGATCCTCAATGCTGATCGGAACGCCGTGTTTTGCCAGATATTCCGGGCTGGCGCACAGGACACGGTGGACCGGGGCCAACCGCCTTGCAACCAGGCTTGAATCCGAAAGCTCCGCAATCCGGACCGCGAGATCATACCCATCGCCGACAATGTCCACAAAATCGTCGGACAGGTCGAGATTGACTGACAGGTCGGGGTTCTCGGACAGAAACCGTCCCAGATGCGGTGCAATGTGAAGGCGTCCGAACGACGTGGGAACGGCAACCCTGAGATTTCCCCGGGCCTTGGCGGATCCGCGCGAGACAAACGACTCTGCTTCTTCGACCGAGGCCAGAATGGCAATGACCCGTTCATAAAAGCCCTGACCGGCCTCGGTCATTGCGATCTGACGGGTTGTTCGCTGGAGAAGTCGCGTTCCCAGCTTTTCTTCCAGCCTTCGGATTCGTTTCGAGACCACCGCGGGGGACAGGCTCATTTCCCGACCGGCCGCCGACATGCTGCCTGCGCTCACCACGCGCGCAAAGATTTCCATGTCTGTCAGATTGCTCATTTTCAATCTCTCAGAAAGACGACAGATTCTGCTTGAACTCTCCCCAATGCGACAGAACATGTCAAAATTCGGGAACGTTCTTGAACTAACAGCACTTGTTACGGCAGGACAAGCCGACCAGATCAGTCGTTAAGACGGGAAAACAAATCCCCGTGGTCTTCTGGTCCTCATGGCCGTCGCCCCAGCAATTGGCAAGGCACTTTGGTCCGTCTCGCGCAGAGCGATATTCACAAGTCTGGACGAATGGGCAAAGGACTGTAATCTAGGCTGGCCGGATCAATGTGGATGCAACGAGATTCGCAGCTGCACAGGCCCGGTTTCGATAGAATGAATTTTAGCGGAGTGCGGTTATGAACGATCAGACCGATGTCGCAGGTTACATGGAACCCGGTGGTAAGAACGCCACTCTTATCTACATTCTTTATCTTGTCAGTATCATCGTCGGCATCACCTCGATCATCGGTGTAATTTTCGCCTATTTGAACAGGGGAAAAGCCGGGGGATGGGTCGAATCCCACTATACCTATCAGATCCGAACATTCTGGATCGGATTGCTGTACAGCCTTATAGGCGCCGTGCTGACATTCGTGTTCATTGGTATTTTCGTGCTGATCGCGACGCTCGTCTGGTTCATCATCCGGTGCATCAAGGGCGTGCAGACAGCCGGACGCGGCGACGCGATTTCAAATCCGGAGACCTGGATGTTCTGAAGTCCTCGTCTCCGCATTGCTGAGGCTTGGGCCCTTGTGTACCGTGATCCGGCGCGTTGTCCGGTTCAGGGTGCCGCTGGAGCGGCAGCAATGGCTCGTGGTGCCTGAAATCTGAGTTGCCTTCGGCAACCATGTCCGGGGAAACGCTGTCCGGGGAAACGCCTGGATCGGCAGCTCAGCCTTCGCGCGTGCCGAGTTGCACCGGTGTTTTGTCCGGCTCGTTATCGGGATCCTGGCCTGCAATACGCAGTGTGCGTTCCAGAAGCTGTTCATAGATCGGGCGCCCGCCGAGATGGTGAGCAGTGAGCGATGCAGTCGTGCAGGTGACGAGCACGGGCATGATCAGGGCATAGGCTCCGGTCAACTCCATTACCAGCACGACGCCGACAAGGGGCGCACGAACGGACGCTGCACAAAAACCGCCCATGGCAGCAACGGCACAGGCTGCCCGGAAATCATCTTCCACGGGCAGCGTTTCGACGGCTATCACGCCGAACGCCAGTCCGGCGCATGTCGCAATGGACAGCATGGGGGCGAATATGCCGCCCGGAACACCGGACGCGTAGGAAAACAGCACGCCGCCAAAGCGCAGGAATGTGAGCAACAAGAGAGCAAGAACGCCATAATGGCTGGATATCAGGTCATGGACCAGATCTTCGCCGCCGCCCGTTGCATCGGGAAACGCATTGAGCAGGATGCCCGTGACTGCGCCGATTGCAAGGGCCGGGAGCCATCTCAGACCCTTCGGGATTTTCAGAAACAGGTCCATGACCGTGATCAGCGCCTTGTTGAAGAAGACACCGAGTACACCGAGCAGGATGCCCATCAAGGCAAGCAGCAGGTAACTCCAGACCGGCAGGTAACGCACATCGACAACCAGGAGAGGGCCGGTTTGTGTGAGCTGTTCGGTAACGGCTGCACTCAGGATGGAGGCAATGATGACGGCCATGTAGGTGCGGTAGCCGAACGGAAACTGCCGTCTCGTTTCCTCGACAATGAACAGGATTGCGGCAAGCGGCGCATTGAAGGCAGCGGCAAGCCCCGCGGCTGCTCCTGCTGCAAGCAGGCCCTTGTGATCGGCGGGAGAGACCTTGTGAGAGCGTGCGAGCGCTTCCGCAGTCATGGCTCCCATATGAATGGTCGGTCCTTCCCGCCCCAGCACCAGGCCAGAGCCGAGGGCAAGCAGGCCGCCAAAAAATTTTGCAATAAGCACCTGAGGCCAGTGAACCGGGCGCCGGTCCTCCATCGCTCCTTCTATCTCCTGAATGCCGCTGCCGGCGGCTTCCGGAGCAACCCGTTGAACGAGGAGAAAAGCTGCGGCAACGCACATAGATGAAATGAGAATCGAAACGACATACGGCAATGCGCCACTGCCGAGAGAGTTTCTCAGGGCGGCATACTGGGCAAACAGATGCTCGAGACCTGCATGAAAACCGGTCGCCAATCCTCCTACGAGAAGGCCGACCAGGGCCGCTTTCACGAAATAGGCCGCGTCGGACCGCGCAGATTCAATGTTGGTGCGTCGGGTCATACCCTGCGTCGTCTCGATACGCTTTGACGAGCGGAGATCCGCTCTTCGTTGAAAAACAAACTGCAAAGAAACCTGCAGCAGTGCAAGCAGGGGCTGGCAAACCAAACAAAACGCACGGCGTTGCCGTGCGTTCAGGTGATTTTCAGTTGTCGAGGTTGTGCATTAGAGAACGTGTACCTTGGTTCCGACGCCCACACGTTGATAGAGGTCCATGACATCTTCATTGCGCATGCGAATGCAGCCGGACGAGACTGCGTGTCCGATGGTCCAGGGCTGATTGGACCCGTGAATGCGATAAAGCGTGGACCCCAGATAGAGCGCCCTTGCCCCGAGCGGATTTTCCGGCCCGCCGGCCATGAAGACAGGCAGGTCGGGGCGGCGTTTGCGCATCGATGCTGGTGGACGCCAGTCCGGCCACTCGGCCGTGCGCGTGATACGATGCATGCCTGCCCACTCAAATCCGGGTTTGCCGACGCCGACACCATAGCGGCGAGCGGTTCCGTCCTTCTGGACCAGATAGAGGAAGCGGGCGTTCGTATCGATGACAATCGTGCCCGCCTTGTAAGGGCCGTCATAGTCGATGATCGTCGGAAGGAATTGAGGTGCAATCTGCCGGGTCTGCCGTTTGGGCTGTTGCCGGGCCGGGTCCATTCGGCGCGACCACCAATTGGCACGCCGGACCTTGGGCTGCTGGACCTGCCGCCTCTGTACGGGAGCTGCTGCGCGGCGCGCCGTGCCGGGCTGCAGCTGCAGCATCCAGGGTTCTGTCAGATTTGGGCTCAGAACCAGTGGGGGAGGCGAAACCTGGCCGGCAGACACCGGACCCGCCGAAATGAAGGCGCCGAGCAGGGTAGCTCCCGCCAGAAACAGTAAGTTCGAAGAACGTTTCTTCAAAAAGAACATGGCAACACTCGCAACTCATCATCAACCACGTCTTCCGGCAATTTTAAGTTGCCGGTTAACGAACTGGCAAGGATGATAAGCGGGCATGTTCAGGCAATAGTGACTCTCGGCGTGAGAATTCGCGTAAATCTTTCTTATGGTTAGCCGAGTCTTGAGGAACAGGATTAACAGATCCCTGCCACGGTGGCGACCTGCTCGCACATCGATTTCCGATGATTGAAATCTTTGCGATTTCCAGCTTTCGTTGGTTAACGCACGCGCCTGCGGGCGTCACGCACAACCAGGGGCAGGATGGGTTTGGTCTGCTTCATCGACATGCCGGGCCTGATTCGGGGATCGTAAAGCATGTTCAAAATGATCTGGTCGAACACGGTAAACCGGCTGTGGCGCGAAGCATCGTTAAAAACCGAGTGTGTCAGGTCCTGATGATCGTTCATGGGGCCTAACCCCTGAAGGATTTCCTCGACAAGGCAGCGTTTGAACAGAAACTCCCCCTCATCTGAAACAATGACCGCGGACGAGCGTTTGATGCCCTTTCGACCGGAAACCACGCGCACAAGGCACCGGCCTGGGACTTTTGCACGGTCGTTTTTGTAAATGTCTCTTTGAACCACCGACACGTATTGCGCCCGGTCCACGACAAAAACCTCGAAATTCGCAGCGGCTGGGTCGTTGGTAATGCTGGTTTCGAGACCACCGATCCGCCGGTCGATTTCCCGCACGAAACGATGGACCACGCGCGTGCGGTCGCGGCGTGACAGATTGTGTACGTAAAAGGTTACCGGCTGCGTGAACTTCTTGACCAGGGAGGGACGCCAGCTCCAGCTGCGGTACTCGAGCCCGAACACCGTCTTCTCGAAACCTCTCAGCAGTTCCTCGGTAGAAAATGAATCGTTTGCGGCTCGCGCCGACACGGAAATCATGAGCGCCGTAAGAAACAAACTTGTCAGCAATGCTGGCAGATGAAGGAAACGCATGGTTTTCATATAAGTCAGATCGCAGTTACCGGCCACATTCATGTTCAGTTCAAATATTCCCTGCGACGAAACCGGTGCGGGCATGTCCGGATCGTCGCCAATAATGTCGTTGAAAAAGATAACCAAACCGTTTGAGAGGAAAAAGAAGGAATATCGCGCCAAACATCGGACACCCCTGTCATTTTCGTCAATTCAGGGAAAAACATTTCTTTAAACTTCCGCTGCTACCAATTGGGTAATCGCTATTTGTATGCGCCGGCAGGGGCAAGGGACGGGAGAAGGCATGGCCGCGGTGAAGAGATCCTTTCGAGCGGAAAGCTTGATACGCATGAATACCGGGGCCGACAGTGATCCGGCCTTTGCCGAAGAACGACGGCATCAGGAAGTGCTGGCGGAAATTTCCAGTCTGAGATCATTGATCGGCAAAGGAGCTGCGCAAAAGGGCGACGCACTTGACCCCGAAGCGATGAGCCAGAAATTCATGTCCGAATTTCGCAAGGAATTGTCGGAGGCTGCTAAACTGAAGGTCGAGATCGACGCGATGTATGAAGCGATCGCTCAGACCAAAAAGGAAATTGCCACCCTGCACCACACCACTGGTTCCAAGGGTGAGGAAATGACCCGTGTCACCAACGAGCTGGATGCCGTTGTCGACGGGACAGAAGGGGCGACGGAAATGATTCTTTCTGCCGCCGAGTTCATTGACGAGACCGCCAACACACTTTCGGCTCGTGTCGGCAAAGAGGACTCTGAGCTCGCAAACGACATTCAGGAAAAGGTTGTTCAGATTTTCGAGGCCTGTAACTTCCAGGATCTTACAGGTCAGCGCATCACCAAGGTCGTTTCGACACTCCGGTTTGT